GCTGGGACCACAGGCGCCCGCCACAACGCCCGGCTATTTTTTGGTTGCAGCCATCATTGTTGTTTGGCGGGTCCAGGCTGGGGATTCGAACCTGCCACCTTAGGTGTACGTGGCTGGCGCCTTAGCCGGTTGAGCTATAGGCGCTGAGCCTCTTCTTCTTTTTTTTAGACAGCTTTACTATGTCGCCCTTGGTAGAGTGCCGTGGCATCATAGCTCAAAGCAACCTCAAACTCTTGGGCTTAAGTGATTCTCTTGCCTCAGCCTCCTGAGGAACTGGGATTACAGGTGCCTGCCACAACACCCGGCTATTTTTAAAGATGGGTCTTGCTCTGGCACAGGCTGGTCTTAAACCTGTGAGCTCAGGCAATCCACCCGCCTCAGCCTCCCAGAGTGTTAGGATTACAGGCATAAGCTACCATGCCCAGACAATCTAAGCCTTCTTACTCATCAACAGTGAGGAGACGCATACTTTTTTTTTTTTTTTGAGAGAGTCTCACTTTGTCACTCTTGGTAGAGTGCTGTGGTATCACAGTTCACAGCAACTTCTAACTCTTGGCCTTAAGTGATCCTCTTGCTTCAGCCTCCTGAGTAGCTGGGACTACAGGTGCCTACCACAATGCCTGGATTTTTTTTTTTTTTTTGCAGCTGTCATTGTTTAGTAGGCTAGGGCCGGTTCAAACCCGCCTGCCTGATGTATGTGGCCAGCGCCCTACCCACTGAGCAATGGGCACCACACATATTCAAGTATATACATGTATCTGAGTGTTTACTACTAACTAATTCCCTTTATCTATAGCAGAGAAGGGGCTTACCATTACACTGGAACCTGGAGACAGAGACTAACAAAAATTTGATCATAGCTAGACCCAAAACAGGCCTAATTTTCACATTCCAAAGATGTCTCATCTACCCTTTGACCCATTCTTTGAGATAAGGAATTGAGCTAGTAAATGTAGGAGAGAGAGACAATATTGAGGCCTCTCTGGAGTCCTTTTTTTTAAATTATTTTTTTGAGACAAAGTCTCACTTTGTCATCCTTGGTAGAGTGCCATGGTGTCATAGCTCACAGCAATCTCAAACTCTTGGGCTCAAATGATTCTCTTTCTTCCCATGTAATGGGGACTACAGGCACCTACCACGACCCCTGGCTATTTTTAGAGATGGGGGGGGGTCTCACTCTGGCTCAGGCTGGTCTTGAACCTGTGAGCTCAGGCAGTCTGCCCACTTGGCCTCCCAGAGTCCTAAGATTGCAGGTGTGAGCCATTGCGCCTGGCCCTCTCTGGAGTTTTTGTTTGACAGCTATCCTAGGTGAGCATACTACTATGTTGAAATATATACTGTAATAATTTAAGTAAAACTACTTTCTGCTGTGGAAATGCAGATCAGCTGCTCACCAAAGTGGATTTTTCTTCATATTCTTGAGGAACATTGAGTCACCTTAGGTATTCTCTTCTTAGAGACACAATAACAGTTCTAATTTTTTATTACTTGGCTCATTTTTAATCCTTTTGTCTTTATTATTCTGAAATCCCTACAAGGTCTTCACATGTCCCTAAGTCACAGAGTCTAAAACTATATGCCACTTTAATTATAGCCTTAAGATTAGGTAGTTGTTATTCCACTTATACAAGTTTACTTTTAAAATATAAACTCTTTGTGACTAATTTAGCTTGTGGTTGTCTGCCACTCCCTTCCTGACCACCCACCACCCCTCATTCCCCTTATCTTTTTTGCTTTGCTTGTACAAAAACCAATTGTTCACTATTTTATTTCTCTGCATTTTCCTCCATCTCTCTATGCATTTAAGAACAGAGAACTCATTTCTTATGAAAGAGAAAAACCAGGGGTATTTATCAACATCACAAAGAGATTCTTTTTTTTTTAATTTTTGAGACAGAGTCTCACTTTGTCACCCTTGGTAGAGTGCCATGGCATCACAGCTCACAGAAACCTCTAACTCTTGGGCTTAAGTGATCCTCTTGCCTCAACCTCCTGAGTAGCTGGGACTATAGGTGCCTACCACAATGCCTGGCTGTTTGTTGTTGTTGTTGCAGTTGTCGTTGTTTAGCTGGCCTGGGCCGGGTTTGAACCCACCAGCCTGGGTATATGTGGCCAGTGCCCTACCCACTGAGCTACAGGCACCACCTACAAAGAGATTATTATTATTATTATTTTTGAGACAGAGTTTCACTATGTTGCCCTCAGTGGAGCACCATGGCATCACAACTCACAGCAACCTCAAACTCTTGGGCTTAAGCGACTCTCTTGCCTCAGCCTCCTGAGTAGCTGGGACTACAGGTGCCTGCCACAATGCCTGGCTATTTTTTGGTTGCAGTTGTCATTGTTGTTTAGCAGGCCCAGGCCAGCTTGAACCTGCCAGCCTCGGGGTATGTGGCTGGTACCCTACTCAATGAGTTATGGGAGCCGAGCCACAGAGATAATCTTTTTTTTTTTTTTTTTTGCGGTTTTTGGCCAGGGCTGGGTTCGAACCCTCCACCTCTGGCATATGGGGCCGGCGCCCTACTCCTTGAGCCACAGGTGCCACCCCCACAAAGAGATTCTTTATTTACTATTATCATTATTTTTATTATTTTTAGAGATAGGACCTTGCTTTGTTGCCCAGGCTGGAGTACAATGGCTCAATCATAGTTCACTGCAACCTCCAATTCCCAGGTTCAAGAAATCCTCCTG